TTCGTCCAGAAACTGGACAAGAGTGTCCTAACATTAGTTTTGCCTGAAGTGTACTAGGAAACAAGACAAATGTTCTCTTACACTGGTTTGGGTGGTGATGCATTCGTCAGGAAACAGGACAAGTGTCTCCTGACACGAGTCTTGGCAGGGGTTTGCTAGGAAAAAAAGGGCAAGTGTCCGATTTTCATTTGTTTTAAGTGATGGAGCTGTGAGGTTCGATATGTGGACATTACTTTACGAAGCTTTCAACAATAGTGACTCAAAACACATGACCTTTCCCAGTCTGAACCCTGCCCATCCTCTGCTCTCAGATATCATTGTCGCGAAGCCCGTGGGGTAGTCATGCAGTCCTAAGAACATAAGAACATAAGAACGAAGGAACACTGCAGCAGGCCTACTGGCCCATGCGAGGCAGGTCCAAGTCTCCTACCGGCTTAAGCCAATGCACCCAACCTAGTCAGGTCAGGTCACATTGACTTAAGGGAGGAACACGGCAACCGACCTGGTAGCACAAGCTATCAGGTCCAACTCACACCCACCCACATCCACTCATGTATTTATCCAACCTATTTTTAAAGCTACACAACGTTCTGGCCTCTATAACTGTACTCGGGAGTTTGTTCCACTCATCCACAACTCTATTACCAAACCAGTACTTTCCTATATCCTTCCTGAATCTGAATTTGTCCAACTTAAAACCATTGCTGCGAGTCCTGTCTAGGCTAGATATTTTCAGCACACTATTTACATCCCCTTTATTTATTCCTGTCTTCCATTTATACACCTCAATCATATCCCCCTAATTCTACATCTTTCTAGAGAGTGCAGTTTCAGGGCCCTTAGTCTATCCTCATAGGGAAGGTTTCTGATACATGGGATCAACTTTGTCATCCTCCTTTGAACATTTTCCAGAGCATTTATATCCATTCTGTAATACGGTGACCAAAACTGTGCAGCATAATCTAAATGAGGCCTAACCAAGGATGTATAGAGTTGAAGAACAACCTGAGGACTCCTATTATTTATGCTTCTTGATATGAAGCCAAGGATTCTATTAGCTTTATTGCGAACACTTATGCACTGTTGTCTTGGTTTTAGATTACTGCTAACCAGAACTCCTAAATCTTTTTCGCAATCCGTAATATTAAGATCTACATTATTTAGTTTATATGTGGCATGGTTATTGTCCTGTCCAACATTTAGAACTTTGCATTTGTTTATATTAAACTGCATCTGCCACTTCACCGACCACTGCATCAGTCTATTCAAATCTTTCTGGAGTGCTCTAATGTCCTCGTCAGAATGAATTCGACGGCCTATTTTGGTGTCATCGGCAAACTTGCTGATGTCGCTCTTTATGCCCTCATCTATGTCGTTTATGTAGATTGTGAACAGCAGGGGGCCCAACACTGACCCCTGTGGAACACCGCTCGTGACGCTTCCCCACTCTGATTTCTCCCCATTTATGCAAACTCTCTGCTGCCTATTTGTCAACCATGCCTCTATCCAGGAAAAAAATTTCTCCTATTCCATGTGCCTTAATTTTCCTCAATAGTCTCTGATGTGGGACCCTGTCAAAAGCCTTACTGAAGTCCATATACACAATATCATATTCATTACCATGATCTACCTCCTCAAATACCTTAGTGAAAAAAGTTAATAAATTCGTAAGGCAGGAACGCCCCTTTGTAAAACCATGCTGAGATTCGTTGATTAATTTATGCTTTTCAAGGTGGCTACGAACTGCCTCGGCAATTATTGATTCCATAAATTTTCCCACTATGGAGGTTAGGCTTATTGGTCTATAGTTCGAAGCTAAGGACCTGTCACCTGCTTTGAAAATAGGTATCACATTTGCCATTTTCCACTTATCTGGTACCATGCCAGTTTGTAGTGATATGTTGAAAAGATTAGCCAAAGGTTTGCTAAGCTCCTCTTTACATTCCTTTAGAACCCTTGCATACAGTTCATCAGGGCCTGGGGATTTGTTAGGTTTTAATTTATCTATTTGCCTAAGGACCATGTCACTTGTGACCCTAATCGTGCACAGTTTATTATCGTCCTGTTCTACATAATTTATCATTTCTGGAATATCGCTGGTATCCTCCTGTGTAAAAACTGAGAGGAAGTATGTGTTAAAAATTCTACACATTTCCTTATCACTGTCAGTGATCTGACCCGAGGAACTTTTGAGTGGGCCTATCTTGTCCCTGATCTTACTTCTGTATACCTGAAAGAATCCTTTTGGGTTAGTCTTCGATTCTCTTGCAACTTTAACCTCATAATCTCTTTTTGCTTTTCTAATTCCCTTTTTTATTTCTCTCTTTAACTGAATATATCGATTTCTTAATTGCCCCTCTCCTCTTTTGATTTGCCTATATATGCCTCTCTTTTGACCAATCAGATATTTTAATCTATTGTTCATCCATTTAGGATCATTTTTGTCTGATCTGATTTCCCTATTTGGAGCATAATTTGACTGAGCAGCTAGAACTATGCCCTGGAAAGCGTCATATCGGCAACCATCACCACCTACCTGACCCTTAGTCAGGTCATTCCAGTTCAGCCCACCTAAGTAATTTTTCAGTCCTACGAAATCAGCCAAGCGAAAGTCAGGGACGAAGACTTGATTGCCATTATTAGGGGAATTCCATGATATATTAAAACTGAGTGATTTGTGATCACTTTCCCCAAGCTCATCATTAACCTCAAGATTATTAATTAGTGTTTCCCTACTGGCAAGAACCAAGTCAAGGAGGTTATTTCCCCCTAGTTGGCTCTGTCACAAACTGTTTTAAAAAACAATCCTGGATCGTATCAAGAAAGTCACCTGACTCTAAATTTCCCGTCAAATTGCTCCAGTCAATCTGTCTATAGTTGAAATCTCCCATTAGATTGACTGGAGCAATTTGACAGGAAATTTAGAGTCAGGTGACTTTCTTGATACGGTCCAGGATTGTTTTTTAAAAGGGAATGGAAGGTAATCAGGCTTAACCTGACTGGGGTTCAGGGCAGCTGAAATTCAGTGAACCAAGAGCCTTCCATTAACTTTCACCAACATAAAGGGTCACAGATAAAAAATGACCTATCATAAAGAGAATAAATGGCTTCCTTACGGAGAGAATGAAAGACTTACCTTAAATGGCATCCATACAAGAGCTCATGGTTTTCCCACAGATTACAAGACTTATTGTGAAAAGCTCACCGCAAACACGTACTGTTATATAAATAAACAGATGGTGTGATTCACAGGAAGCTCTCAGAGAAGTTCCCATCGGTACACAGACAACTTCACTTACAGTTATTATCAAACCAACTTGAAGGTCATATCAGTGTCATATTATTACTTATAGTTATTATCAAACCAACTTGAAGGTCATATCAGTGTCATATTATCACTTATAGTTATTATCAAACCAACTTGAAGGTCATATCAGTGTCATATTATCACTTATAGTTATTATCAAACCAACTTGAAGACAATATCAGTGTCATATTATCACTTATAGTTATTATCAAACCAACTTGAAGGTCATATCAGTGTCATATTATCACTTATAGTTATTATCAAACCAACTTGAAGGTCATATCAGTGCCATATTATCACTTATAGTTATTATCAAACCAACTTGAAGACAATATCAGTGTCATATTATCACTTATAGTTATTATCAAACCAACTTGAAGGTCATATCAGTATCATATTATCACTTATAGTTATTATCAAACCAACTTGAAGACAATATCAGTGTCATATTATCTTGAATAATACGCCAGAAAATGTGGAATATTTTGTCATATTAAAATAACGTAGCTTAATTAATTAAAAGAATTGCTTAATGCGTCTCTTTGAGATTTTTTCCTCATTGTTACTCTTGGTATTGTCATTAAAAATTTATTTCAAAGTTATAAATTATACCATATTCCTAATTTTCTTCGAAAATTTAATATCTACATCCATTAATTATTATATTATGGTAATTTTGTTTATAATTATCTTAAGGGTACAAAACTGACCATTAAAATTTAATAGAATATCTCCCAGTTAATTCTTATTTATAATTATAACTGGGATCATAATATTTTGTGACCTTATGTAATTTATGGGTCATGTATATACGTAAGTCTGAGGTATGTTTCGCCCAAGGCGTCCCCTTGGGCGAAACATATCGTTACTCTTCTGTTATAGAGTATCGTTATGAAGATCCAATGTGTAGAACAGGCTTCTAGTGGGGACAACGTTTCGCTTTCTGTAGGGCTTGATCAAGCCATGAAGTGACACAGTATCATTCCGAGCGAAACGTTGTTCTAATGAAAATTTTCTGGAAAGTAAAAGGACACAAGTGTAACTAATTTTCTCATGACTCATACGTGTTCATGAGGTTGTTTGCAATGTTTAATGTTACCTACTTAGGTACCTACTTACGTAGCTGCTTACGTACCTACTTACGTACCTACTTACCTACCTACTCACCTACCTACTTACCTACCTACTTACCTACCTACTTACCTACCTACTTACCAACCTACTTGCGTACCTAATTACGTATCTACTTACCTACCTACTTACCTATCTACTTACTCACGTACCTACTTACCTACACCTGCGCTTGGTTCATTGATGTGGAATTTCGCTTCAGCCAGAGCACCAAGAATGATATATTGGGTAAAAAGAACACATGTGCAATAATATTTTATTGAGCCGACGTTTCGCTCTCCAGGAGCTTTGTCAAGCCGTAACATATTGTCGGTAATTCTAACAACATTACTATGGGGATGATGCAGTTCCCAAAACTGGGATCACACACACACACACACACACACACACACACACACACACACACACATATCAACGTATATACCCAGTATCGAGTCTTTTTTAAAATAAAAATTTATTATAAATACTTAATGGTTCTCTCAATAATAATAATAATAATAATAATAATAATAATAATAATAATAATAATAATAATAATAATAATAAGAGTGTGTGTACTCACATAACAGACACGGCAGGTTGTGTGGGGGGCCAAGTCTTGCTTCATTCCGAAATCTCAGTCTTAATAAAAAGTCTTGTTAAGTAACCAGTTGGTTAACTGGTTAGTCAGGTTTAAAGCCTGTCGACTGTACGAGGGTCATCAAGGCTGCTAATTACCTCTTCACTACGAGTCAGTAATACTTCAATCCCTAAAATGGGGATTACAGTAATTTCTCAGTGTGTATGTACACTGAGAAATATATACCTTTCTGTATGTATATATATATATACACCTGGGAATATTTTTCCATTACATAGTTTTCATTTTTTTATATATAAACTGCTCATTTAACTAGCAGTATAAATTACTGGAGATGTTTATATATATATATATATATATATATTTCCCTTCATTTTTTATGTATATACTTTTTCCGTTCTTCCCCTAGTACGAGTTTCTGATCACTTCGGCTGTATAATTATTAACATAATTGTGACAACAATTGCGATATTTTCATTAATATAATTTGTATAAATCCATAAGACACAAACAAATCCGGCACTTGAGGTAAAGGAGTGTATTTACACAATTCCACTGTGGTAGGTGAGATTTGTGACACCCTACCAAGGCAAGGTGGAGGAGGAAATGAGAAGCGAGCAGTGCCAAGAGTGTGTGTGTGGGGCACCCTTGACACAGTGCCAGAGAGGACAACACCAGCGTAGCTCCTCCCACCACCGCTGCCGCCAAGATACTGGAGACTTTTAGCAGTGTTGGTGTGTGACACTGTGCCTGGTGGCGCACCCACGGTCCAACCCACGGTCTAACCCACGGTCCAACACATGGTGCAACCCACGGTTCAACCCATGATCCAACACGTGGTACAACCCACGGTTCAACCCACGGTCCAACCCACGGTCCAACCCACGGTCCAACCCAGGGTCTAACTCAGGGTCCAACCCATGGTCTAACCCAGGGTCCAACCCACGGTCCAACCTATGGTCTAGCCCATGGTCCAACCCACGGTCCAACCCATGGTCCAACCCACAGTCTAACTCATGGTTCAACCTACTGGTTCATCACGTGGTCCAACCCATGGACCACAGTCCAACCCACGGACCACACTCCAATCCACGGACAATGGTCCACTGCCCAATCCACGTAAGGTTTATACAGCTCTTTGGACACTCGTGTTAATTTAATCGGAAGGAAGAGGAGAAAGCCTCCAAATCCTTGGATCAAGAGTCCAACATGAAGAAAGACATCATTTAAGACATTTTAAATTAACATCTACTGTGTATATTCTCAATTAGATTTCCATTGATTATGTAGATTTGCAACTTGAACCATATATGTGAGCCACATTACATATATGTGAGCCACATTACATATATGTGAGCCACATTACATATATGTGAGCCACATTACATATACGGTAAGCTTTTAAGCTTACCATTCTTTTTTAAGCTGGAAAAAGCTCCTTGCACAGTAAGCTAAGTTGGAAAATTTGGTATAAAAATCCACTACTATATATATATATATATATATATATATATATATATATATATATATATATATATATATATATATATATATATATACCTGGAGAGGGTTTTGGGAGTCAATGTCCCCGCGGCTCGGTCTGAGACCAGGCCTCGTGATGGATTAGGGTGTGATCAACCAGGCTGTTATTGCTATATATATGGAGTGGTTCTGCCTCAGACCCTCACATACACACACACTCGTGATTCTTGAAGAGAATTCAATTTACCCCCAACACGGCAAAGATGAACCTTCAGTGATGATGCTTCGACCTCACCAATTCACACTGCCATGCTACTGCCGAGGTGGAGATTTTACTGCAGCCAGACTCCGCTACTCGTGGAGCTTCGTTAAGTCAGTCGTTCAATGGAAAAATAAACACAAATGAAGTTTAACGCTGCCCTTGATTAGACTACATTTCGCCCACATCCTACCCAACATTCTTCCCCGTCTCGTCCAGGTCCGTCTCAAATACAACCTACCCAAGATTCTCCCCTTGACTCTCCACCTTATTTGCGACTTGATAAAGCCGACTGTGTGGGCAAAATGTAGTCGATAAAGAATCGCATTAAACTGCATATGGGTTTATTTTTCCATCCTGTGGGTATTTTTTACGCTTTATCTCCCTCATTCGCACGATAAAGGGATTTATTGATAAAACTCGATAAGAGTGAAACGATATAACAATGAAATCTCTGTATTTGTGTCTGTTTTCACTGCTAGAACAGATGGCACAATGTGTATATCTATATAAACATATATAAAATACCCTCAGTCATTATAATGAGCTGGATGAGGTGGTTCATGCATGCTAATACTCTCTAGTAAGAGTAATCATACGTGGAATCATTCGCTCATGCTGGTGGGTTTGTGTGCATGGCATCACTGGCGCGGACGAGCGCTCCTGCATGACATAATTCCCGTATTTCATCAACCTGTAACTGGTCTATGCAACTCTGGAGCGCGTAAATACGAACGTAATTACCTCATTACTTATCATACTGATACACGCTACGCTTAAAGTGCGTCTTATATTTCACTGTTTACTAACTACTTCAAATATAATTAATTTCCAATAAAGATATTCTTAAAAGTAATTAATTGCTAATAAAGTGGGCCCTAAAAGTAATTAATTTCCCTTAAAAAAACAGTAATTAATAACGAATAAAACAAGTACTTAAATTACTAATTGTTTACAAGTTCGGTCTTAAAAGTGAATATATATTAATAAAGCAAGTGAAGTTAATTACATTAGATTAAACTCGAGTTTCAAAGGAATTCTTTGTTTATAAATTGGGGCAAAATGTAACTTACTACAGCAATAATGTAATTCGTGAGTGAATTTTTTTACGTCTTCCAACGTTTAACTTGCGTCAAACGAAGCAAAGAAATTATCTGAAATCGATACATACTTGGAGAGCAATCAACGGCATATGAACCATTGATATTAACTACGATAATTCACGATAAAGAGGGAGCAAGTAGGGTGCCACGGGAAAAGTGTCGCACTACATGTGTGGCAGTCTGTGTACTAGTCTCTGCGGTGGTAAGTATGGCACTCTTTGTGGCACTTTGTGTGGAATTCTAGTATACTTAGTGTTGTAGTTTCCTTGACACTGAGTGGCAGTCTGTGTGGTGGTCTGAACAGTGTGGCACTCTGGCAATAACATGGCACTGGCACTAGCGTCTGCTTAATAATTAAGTCTCCCCGAGTTCAATAACCACTCCAGACATACGACTCAGTGACGGGGTAACTATTTTAACGACTAATGACACCAGTAACTACTAACAACCGGTCGAGACTGTATCTTACGGGCTCAGTCTGGCTCCGACTGGCTCCGACTGGCTCCGACTGGCTCCGACTGGCTCCGACTGGCTTCGACGGGTTCTAATAAGCTACGGCGGCTGGCGACGAACGTCGACAAACATCGACGACTTGTGCTAATTGGGCCAGCTGACACATACGGATATCTGTCATTAAAAATTAATAATGTAAGTAGAGATTTTGGCGTGATATTAACCAGCAGAATTCAATAAACTCGTCATCCACTTTCCTAGTATTCACTTTCTCCCAGTCACTTTCTCCCAATCACTTTCTCCCAGTATTTATTTACTGCAAGGTCAACATGGGTAGCAGGGATGAACTTACCCATACGTCTCGCCCCGCCTAGAGAATGTACTCAGATTCTTTCGGTTGAGATTCGAACACTCTCCCAAGGTCGTATATACATTGAGAGATAACCCTCCCCTCCCCCTCCAGTCAGCTAACATGTAGGTACCTGTTTGCTATAGGCGAAGAAAAGTAATAAAGAATGAATAACAAAAAAGGCACAATACCGTGACTGAAACAATACACAAATAACCTGCACATAGCTTATGACGACGTTTCGGTCTGACTTGGACCGAAGTCGGACCGAAACGTGGTCATAAGCTCCCCTCTCCTATGTGCGGGTTGTGTAGCAGAGAAGCATTTGCAAGGGGTTTACCACCTCTCTTCCCAAGAGTCTGTACTCTTTTTCCGGTCTTCTTGCCCTTTCCCTAAATTTTAATAAACTTGCATTTGCCGAGGTTGAATTCCAGTAGCCACTTATCTGACCATTCTTGCAATTTATCCAGGTCCAGGTGTAGCTTTTCCTTGTTCTCATCCGTTTTTATTCTCAATAATTTGGTATCATTTTCAGTGAAAAGTGTGAGTTTGACCCTTCCTGTATGTGCTTCACATATCTTGTGTGTGTGTGTGTGTGTGTGTGTGTGTGTGTGTGTGTGTGTGTGTGTGTGTGTGTGTGTGTGTGTGTGTGTGTGTTTGTGTGTGTGTGTGTGTGTACTCGCCTAATTGTGCTCACCTAATTGTGGTTGCAGTGGTCGAGACATAGCTCGTAGCCCCGCCTTGACTGGTCGCCACTGGGTCCACTCTCTCCTTGCTCCATGAGCTTTATCATACCTCTTCTTAAAGCTATGTATGGTATCTGCTTCAACTACATCACTTTCCAGACTATTCCACTTCCTGACAGCTCTATGGATGAAGAAATGCTTCCTAACATCCCTGTGACTCATCTGAGTCTTCAGCTTCCAACTGTGACCCCTTGTTGCTGTGTGTGTGTGTGTGTGTGTGTGTGTGTGTGTGTGTGTGTGTGTGTGTGTGTGTGTGTGTGTGTGTGTGTGTGTGTGTGTGTGTGTGTGTATTAAGAAAACATCTTAATGAATCAGCATTAAACACTACCAGGAAGATGCTTCACAAGGAGTCGAGAATATGAACAAATGGTTTATTGTGGTGTTGACTGATGGCTGTTCTTAGAAGGCTGTTAGATGGTTGTTGGATGGTTGCTGGTTGGTTGCTGGTTGGTTGTTGGATGGTTGCTGGTTGGTTGGGTCACAGGCTTTTAGCTTGATTACACTAGATTACGTTAGCAACCACCCACACACGCTAGCATGCATCCCCCACAGGTGACGCACAGTCAATAGCCATGACCACTGTTACTGATGATACTGACATCAACGACTGACATCAACGGTTGACATCAAAGACTGACATCAACGGCTGACATCAACTGCTGACATCAACGGCTGACATCAACTACTGACATCAACGGCTGACATCAACGGCTGACATCAATGGCTGACATCAACGGCTGACATCAATGGAGAAGTCATACTTATCCTTTATTCTCTCACAGCCATTAAAGTTTTGCCTTGAATAAAATTATCATAACGCTATTGAAATTAAAATTGCAAATAATTACATACACAGAGAAGCACTAAACTCGTAAGGGCACTACAATACACGGGGAATGATAAAGCATATGGTGGGGGAGGAATCAGGCTTAACCCAAGGGATGGGAAGGTAGCTCCTATTCCTCGGATCATGTGCCCTTCACCAGGGTTAGAAAGCCATGGTCCGAAGCCTTAAATATCATTTAATATTTCGCCAATCTTTTTCTCCAGTCCGCAACAATTTAGGAGAATTACTGCTGGAAGCAGGACTTTATAATATTGCTTAAATATTACCGTAGCTCAGAGATGAACCACTCAGCCCGTAACCGAAGGACCCCGGGCTCGATGCCTGGGGAGAGTGCCAACAGGACACACGGGTAATGGCAAAATGCCATAACCTACACGGTGTGTCTTATTTGCATACTGTCGCCATAATAGCATCCTCAGCTCACACACTGAGGCGTCCGGGGATCGATCCCGGCACGGGT